GAACAAGTTGCTAAAACTTTGTGGGGATACTACATACACATAAAAGTAGGATAATAAAATCTCACATATTTTGAATATGAAATGTAAAAACAATACATATGAAAGTGACTGGCACATTAATAACATATAATAAATGTTAATTACTTTCCTCCCAACTCAAGGGCTTCTCAACGTGTGGTCCAAGGACCACCTGAATCAGAATTGTTTGAGATGTTTGGCTAAAAATGAAAGTTATGGACCCCACTCCCTACTGACTCTCAGCGAATGGGGCCTAAGAATCTAGATGTTTATCAAGCTATAGGCAATTCTTATGCACTCAAAATTTTGAGAACCCCAGTTTTAAATTGTAGATATACAGTACAAAGAATTTAGGAATTGGATGTTTAATAAGCGGGCGCTTAAAAAAGAAAAAAAAGAAAAAAAAAAGGAAAGAAAAAAGTCAAGATTCAACCAGGTTCTAAAATAAAACATTTATTTTGACATTCCAAAAGGGCACAGAGCTAGTATAGTCTCACTTGAAGTTTACACACACACCACCACCTAATAATCAAAGAACCTTCTGGACTAACACTGAATTACCAATGAATGGCTCATCTTTGGGATTTGAGAGAGCTTTCTTCACCCACTGTATGAATAACATCTCTTGAGTTCCACATGAAAGGGAAATTATATATTTTCTGTAGCTTTATTTTTCTAGATTAGTTGTAAAGTACAGGAGCTAGACTACCAGAAAGATAAACCTCAAACCAGAAATGCAGTGCTCTGTATGAAGAAACTGTTGGATGTTGGTTCTCAACATGATTAATGCAATTAAGATTCGTTCCCAGTTTAGCACTTTGGTGTCTATTCCCAACTATCAACTCCTGCCTTTCTGAGACTGGGAGTTCAGTCTGAGATCCTGAATAGGCCACCAAAAACAAACAAAGAAAGAAAAACATGAGGAGGAAGCTGTGGGCAGAAAAGGTATTTCTAATTTCTTTTTCATGGCAACTCTCCCAATACACAGGGAGCCATACTCATCCTCTAACCGGTAAAACTGTACCTACTGGTCGTGGGCCCTTGGGCAAATTATTTAATATCTCTGTGCCTCAGCTCTAAAATCAGGATAATCCAAGTAGCCTACCTCACAGGGTTGTTTTAAGGATTATGATGAGTTCACTTAGGTGATAGCATAGTGGTTAATGAGAGGGCAGTTACTTTCCTCTAAAATAGGGACGGGAGTAGCACCTACCCCATGACAGTTTGTATCTAAACACTCAGCACGGGGCCTAAGGGTAGTAAGCCCCCGTAAATATTCACTACTGCTACTTTTAACCTACTGCTCTTTCTAAACTTGGCGTAGATGTAATTCCCCAAGTCCTTGGATTTGTCCTCCAGCCATGACTCCACAGCCAACCTTTCTCTCTAACCTCTGCTGCTCTCAATTTGGGAGTTTTGAGGGTGTGCCAGTCAATCCTATTCACTTAACTTCAAAGGCAGGGACATCCTTCAGCTATGTTGTCTCAGGTAGTCGGCAATTTGCATCTATTTTCTTGGCAACGTCTCAAAGTTTCAGGCTTCTCTCTCCCTCTTTTGTAATTAAAAAAGTTGCTTGTTATGGGGGGAAGGTGTTTCCCCACCACAAAGCAATTCTCCAACACCAGCTGGGTGTCTACAATTCAATGCAATTATGACATATTCTACCTGGAGACAGCATAATATTCCAGAGGTTGAGCGCTCAGACCCAAAAGACTGCCCTCCACTTCAGATGCCAATCATAACCCCAAGTTGTTTTACCCTTGCTTCTGACCAACTGGCTACAAATCAGAGGTTCCCATGACCCTTGCTCCTTGGGTTCTATTAATTTTCTAGAGTGGTGCACAGAACTCAGGAAACCCACTTACTCACTAAATTACCAATTTATTACAAAGGATATTAAAGTATACAAATCAACAGCCAGATGAAGGAAGAAATAAATATAGGGCAAGGTCCTGAACAAGAGACATAACAAACGACACCTTTATTGCTCTCCTCATTTAGGAAATCCTAAGGGATTTTTAGGAGCTCTGTGCCAGAAATAGAATGAAGGCCAAATATATATTGTTATTATAAATCACAATATCATGCTTTTATTTTTATATTTCTATAGTCATTTCATTAGGATTTTAGAAAGGAAAAGATGTGCTCAAAATGCCATCTTGAAATGGAAATATGATACATTATATTGTTTTTGCCCATCTTATCTTTTCTACACTTTAGCTTCTTAAGAGCAGGTAAGGGCTAGTAATTCTACCCCATAATTCTAACATGGCACTCTGCACCTGGTGGTATTTCTGAAATCATAATAAAGGAAATTCCTTTCATGGTTAGTTTCTAGAAAGTTTATGGGCCTTTTATAAGTTGTCTAAATAACAGGTAGAAAAAAAGCCCAGTGAAGCATCTAGTTGGAGCTACTCAGCAGTAATTTTCCCTGGGAATCTGGCATTTAAGAAAGCTTATATTTGGAAAGGTGGGACCTACCTGGGTGAGCTGCATGTTAATTAAGCCCTATAATCCTGTCTTCTATAACTATAGGAATTATAGTCCACAAGTGGGCCTGGTCATCTCCTATCCCACAGTTTATCAGAGCTATCCCACAGAGAGTCTACAGTGCTTAAAGCATAGCCCATAGACAAGTTTCTTTATTCTAAAGTCAAAGACGTCGCCACTGATTAAATTTTCTCTTCTAAATGTACAACCTCACGCATTTATAGCCCAGAGTTTGTTTTAACCTAATAATATACACTGTGATCTTTATGACTTCATACCCATAAAATGAGAGTTGTGGGAATAAAAAGATATATTTATTTTTAGTTGCATATTCCTAGATTATTCCTACCAAGAACATCTAGCTCCATAGCTACCACTAGTGTGTGACTGAACAAATAAGATTCCAAATTTTTAAGTGTAGCACAAAGAATGGCAATGGGAGCCAGAAGATTATATGTGTGGACATTTACTTAAACATACAGACACACACTCCTCTCTAAGATAACTTACTTGGCCTTTTGCCCCTTCCTGAATCACATTAGGTATGCACAGGGGTGGGCTGGAAGGTGTGCCATGCATGCTGTGCAGGAAAAAAGGCTATGTCACCTGAGAGAGTAGCAATGTAGAGGCTAGGTCAACCAAACTCAATTCAACAAGTATTTATTAAGTATCCTGGATCCCAGGGGCTACAGGAAATTTGGAGATGAAGAGGATAGAGGCTCTGGCTGAAACCTGCTCTTTACAGAGCAAATTTCACAAATGGTTTAAGGCACACAGAGATAAAAGAATGGAGGTGAGAAAGGGAGGGAAGGAAGGTTAGAAGGTACGGTCAAAAAGATGTGAGGGGATAATATTAATTCTGATCTGCTTATGGTCCCTAGCTCCTCAAAAAGACAAGTGATTGTAATGGTATCACCCATTTCACAAAATCATCACACATCCCACAATCATCACAATACTGGGAAAGCCAGTAAGAAACACACGTAAACAGACAGATATCAGTTAGGCTCTCCTTGTTTATTTATCTTTCCATTTTCATTCCCTATGTGGACTATAACAACCAGCTAACCTTCCAAATTCTCTACGTGGCAAGTACTGGGAGAAGTAGTTGGGAGACAGTCCTTTTTTGTCCTGAGTTAGTAAATTAGCTCCTGAGTAGTATCACACTGAATAGCCCTAGAAAAATCTATAGGGTCACAATGGAGGTGATTTTGTCAAGTGTGCAATTCAATATCATTTTGGTGAAGTTGCCCATACTTGGTCTTTATTTAAGATGTAGTCTTTGAATAACAAGAAATAAAAATTAAGACATTTTCAAGAAAATGATACCTTCTCAACTCTTTCACTGTTCATTTACTATTAAAATCTCATCAAGTATCAGAATTAGAAGAGTCGTTTATTATCAGTCTGATGTACGTGCCTGACCGTGGGATTGAACCTGCAACCCAGGTAAGTGCTCTGACCGGGAACTGAACTGACCGCCTCTCGGGGCACAGGATGATGCTCAACCAATGGAAGCACTTCGGCTTGGCACTGTTACACTCTTTAGTCAACTGGACCGTAACATCTGTTTCTCGGGTGAGGCTTCTGTAACACTAGGCAAACCACTTTCACCAACCCTCCCTGAACAGGAGGGGTTCCTGAGCTTTACATACTCTGTTTTAGTGGCAAAGAACAGAAGCTCATGTTTCTCTTGCCCACTCTCACCCTTCTGTACCAAGAAGATCAAGTGCACAACTACGCTTTTCACAAAGGCTTTAGAAGAGCTTTTATTTGCTCTGTCCGAATAGGACAGCTCAAATTGGATAAGCCAAACAAACAAGCTGAAAAGGTCTTCTAGTTACGCAAGGATAGAAGGGCCTAAGTCCAATGGGGAGTGGCTCTCCCGGAAACTATATGCCATTTCTCTCATACCTTCTGTTGTTGACCAAGCCACATACTGGAATAAAGCTATCACAAGAAGTACCCTTTTACACTCCCCTTACTGGATCCTTTTGTAATCTTGACACAGTTCCAATGTGTTAACCATGAGAGCTTAGTATGATTTAGGTAAAGTTTTCAGAGTTTTATAGATGGTGCGGTAAGAGTGGAGAAAGCACTAGATAAGCTATCAGAGGATGAACTATAAGACACAAATTTACCGTTATTAGCCATGTGACACTAAACCAATTACCTAAACCCAAGGAGTACTAGTTCTTTTATTGCAAAATGGATATAAAAACACCTACCTGGTCAATCTTGCAGGTTTGAGAGGATCAAATAAAATGTCAAAATACTTTCTAATCTTAAGATACAGTATGTATGAAATATCAATACTAGCTTATTTACTCATTAAATGATTAAATAAATCTCTGAAAGATGTCCAACTCACAGAGAGATCACTTTCATGTCACTTGAAGTATACAGCCTCTTATAGTTTGACTTAAATACTAGCTAGTCGGATACATATATACAGTTGACTCTTGAACAATGTGGGGGTTAGGGGCACCAACCTCTGCTCAGTTAAAATCCACGTATAACTTTTGACTCCTCCAAAATTTTACAGTTGTTCCTCGGTATCTGCAGGGCATTGATTCCAGCAACCTCTGTGGATACCAAAATCCATGGATGCTCAAATCCTTTACATAAAATGGCATAAAATAATAGAGTCAGCCTTCTTCAGCTGGGAAAATATTGTTTTCGATCAGTGGTTGGATGAATCTGAGGATACAAAACTTGAGGATACAGAGGGTTGACTGTATATTTATTGAAAAAAATCCGGTATAAGTGCACCCACACAGTTCAAAACTATGTTGTTCAAGGGGCAACTGTATTGGCAAAGTACTGCTTTAACTGCCTTCTTGTTATAATCAAAGGCAGGCAAAGGTACCCTTTGCTTAAACTTTTCTTTGTTATAGGATTTCAATCACTTAGATCACAGTGTTGTTGGCATGCCTGTGAAGAATACTGGAAATTAACTTCACGTGAGGCAGAAACTAGAAACCATTTTAACTGTTTCTTTTTTACTTCTTCCTCCCTTTAATTAATAAAGGATGATTTAATGAAAATGCATAGAGAATGTAAATGAAAATGAGAAAAGTTGTTCAATACCTCAGATAGAAGCTGCGTGGTGTGGTGGAAAAGTACTGTGACCTGGAACTCAATCTCTTCATTCATTCAAATTTATTTATTTATTTTTTATGTTTTCAAATCCTCACCTAAGGATATTTTTTCCATTGCTTTTCAGAGAGAGTGGAAGGAGGGGGGAGAGAGAGACATTGATTGGTTGCCTCCTGCTCCAGCTGGGGTTGGGGATCGAGCCTGCAACTGAGGTTGTGCCCTTGGCCAGAATAGAACCCAGGACCCTTCAGTCTGAGGGCCGACACTCTAACCACTGAGCAAACTGGCTAGGGCATGATTTACCCCAATCCTCAAGCTCAGTCTGGTGGAGGAAGGATACATACAAATAATTAAAATACAATATAAGATGTACTAAGGTACAGATTCTGTACAGGGTTGTGTTGGAACTGATAAAAATCCATCAGGAAAGGTAGGAGAGAGGAATAGGGGCTTGAGGGTACATAGTAAGTAGCAGTCCTCTGCCTTTCATTTCATAAATTGAACAATTATGTTCTAGGTGCTCTAAATTGCTTCAAAATTATATAAACACTCAGCATAGTTCTAGAATAATTCTATTATTTATTTAGGGAAAGACTCAATCTGGCTAAAAAAGTCAGGTCTTCTAATACTTCACTGGTTGCTAGAGTTCTGCTCGCTTTATGAGTTCCCTCCAAATCATTCCTCATATTTACCTCTACAATGCATGTTTCCATCTCATTATGCTGTATTGCATAATGTCCTCAGCCTACAAAAGCAGGTTGTATACAAAAGCCTAGGGCCTTTGTGTAAAGGAAAAGAGGTAGGGTGGACCCTTCTCAACCCTTTCCTTCTCTGCAGGGCTTTGCATTCCTAAGGATGGGCCCCTCCTCTGCTTGGGGATGTTACCTAAATTATGAAATATTACTCAAAGCAATGGAACTTCAAAAGCATTTCCTTCCCAGTCCCTTCCATAAGATTTCTTTTGGCATAAACTGCATGTTTTAATATATTAAGTATCAGACTCTGACTTCTCATACTTGGTCACAAAGTACAGAAAACTTTTGATTTTTTTAAAAATGGGTTTATTATGCTAAAAGGTGCACATGGGAATGGAGGGAGGCATGAGCAGCCTGCCCTCCTTCCTCCCTCCCTTTTCCCCAGTCATGCCTGGCCTGCCAACTTTAAATGGCAGAGTTATCTTGGTGCCACCTGGTCACTGACCTATCTGACATCTTCCACTAGTTGAAGTCATCTTGTCACTGTAAGCACGTGCTTTCCCAGTAATAATTACATCATCCTTTTCTCGTCTGTAGCAGTTCTGGTGAGGAAGGTACAGAGAGGAATCAATAGCAGAATCAAATTGGAATAATGGGAGGAACAGGCTTAAGGATTAGAGTCCCTCAACAGTATGGTGTAAATTGTTATCTTTAGAGCAGTCATTTAATTTTAGTCACACTCAGTCTAGAGCCTTTATTTTCCTCAATTCAAAACTGGTATTATGATAAAAAAACAAAACTGAATTGAGGTTTTTTAACAGATTACTACCAATGCCCCAGGTAGTGCTTACCATGCCTTATCTCATTCAGTCGTCACAGCTCCACTCTCTAAGGACCATTAGGAAAATGAAGCGGCTACTCACATGGAGTGGGGCAACTTTTACATTTTACTTTATACACTCCTAAACCATTTGAAATTTTTTACATCAGTTGTGTTTGGTCAAACCAACTTATGCCAGTGTCCTAATTATTGTAAATATCTAATTTAATAAAGTATTGTATAAAGCAATGAAATATAAATGAGAAGAGAAAAACAACAGCAGCAACTAAAATTAATTGAGTACTTACTACCTGCCAGGTACTATTCTAAGTATTTTGCATGAATTAACTCAGATAATCTTCACAGAAACCTTAAGAACTAGGTACTATTATTGCCCCTATTTTAAAAGGAGGAAACTGAGCCCAGCCAGTGTGGCTCAGTGGATTGAGCGTTGTCCCATGCACCAAGAGGCCACTGGTTTGATTCCCAGTCAGGGCATATGCCCGGGTTGCAGGCTCAATCCCCAGTAGGGGGCGTACAGGAGGCAGCCAATCAATGACGACTCTCTCATCTTTGATGTTTCTATCTCTCTCTCCCTCTCCATTCCTCTCTAAAGTCAATTAAAAAAAATGTTTTTTAATAAAGTAAATTAAAAGGAGGAAACTAAGCAACTTGCCCAATGCCTACACAACTAATAAATAGCAAGATAATCTGGCTCCAGAGCTTAAGAATCTAGTAGTTGTTTCTATGAAAACCAAGTTGAAAGCTTCGGAAACACTAGATAAAGATGATACAAACAACCACTCAACTCTATCTTGTATGTGAAAGTAGCCATAGATATTTAAATAAATAAGCCTGGCTGTGTTCCAATAAAACTTTATTTCCAGAAACAGGCAGCAGGCTAGGATAAGATTCAGCCCTCACGCTGTAGTTTGCAGATCCCTGAACCTACACTTCAAGAAAAAGCTTATATTAATAGAATGGCAAAATATGTTTATGTTTTAAAGTAAAATGTTTAAGGTCTGCGTGTAACTAATATCTGTACGATTCCCTGCTTTAACTTACTTTTTCAGTTAACTAACTACTGACTCTAATTGCATCAGATAAGAGGGCAACTCTTGTTAAGAATTCCTGCCTTCTTTCCTGCCTTTTTGCTTTTGCCAAAGCCACCCCTTCAATCTGGAAAGTCTTACTTTCTCACTTCCACTTGGAATCACACTCATCTTCAAAGCCCATTATCTAACCACACACCCTCCTCCAAAGTAGGTATGATCATTTCTTCCTTTGAAATTCTGCAATAATTAATTTCTACTTATGGGACTTCCTTTATTATGTCTTCTATTATGACTATTTGTATACTTCAATTATCCTCACTACTCAACTATTAATGACTAACTCGTTTTCCTATCTTAGGCAACACCCAGCACACAGCAGGTTTTCAGGTAATATTTCCTGAGTTATGTTCTAACATTCTTCTGTTTTTAGTGACTGAACACAATACCAACCCCCCAAACCTATATTCGACTCATATTTGTATCACCACACCTATGATCTAACTTGGTTATAACTTTAAAGTATTAATTTTAAAATGCATTTACCAGTACAGATTAGTATGAGTGTACCTGTATATAAAAATTGTCATCTATGTAGCAAAATTGCTGACTTTGAAAGGAATTGTTAAAACTGCTGCTTCCTGGTTAATCTTTACGGGTTCAATACATTTTACAAATACATCTAAAAGATGTGTACAAACAAAAATGCTTAATTCCAACTTGAGATCAGGGTTGTGCCTTACTTACCTCTCCACCATCCCCAGCAGTACTGAACAGATATCTGGATCTAACCCACTCCTTTTACAAAGTGCTTAGGGAGCCTGGCCCATGCTCAGAGTGAGTTAGAAGGGCTTGGGATGGGAATTCAGGTTTTCTGATTCCTAGTCCAATATTCTAATTCAGGAAGACAGTAGCTTTTTAGGTGCACCCAATTCTGAAGTTCAAAGACTAAGGAAGCCTCACCACTTGTTCCATTTCCTTACACTGCCAATCAGAACCAGCAACTGTGTTCCCACGACAATGATCTGGGCAGGCATATTTGTGGCGTTCCAATTACCAAAAAGGCGGATCCAGATTTCAGGATTCCTGCCCATCTAAAAAGGTTACTTAAAACGTCCTAGATTAAAAACATGCCACTCAAGAATGCAAGATAAACACTCAAATGATCCTTTAGTGTTTTTTAGAAGTACTACTCAGAAGTTTCAGAGCTCAAATGACAATGACCAGTATTGGGGAGAGGGGTTAAAAAGAGCTATGTTACTTCTGCAGTTCATTCTTTTACTTCCTGAGAAGTAACCAAGTTCACATTATAAACAGAACTACTGCAAAGGGTTCCTGTTCTACTGCTTAGATTCCAGTTGCATCATTGCTTTAACACTATCAGCCTTCACTGCTTTAACCATCTTAATCTGTAAAATAAACAAAAGAAGCAGACAACAACCTTATCCCCAGTTCAACAGAGGAATACTTTACCAACAAAAATTAGAGTTACATATAATACCTCTATCTTATTTCCTTCTTTTCCCTCCCCTAGAGCTTTAAACAATAGTCAAATCATCTTCAGTTAACAAAAGGGCCTAAGCAACCCAGACAGTTCATAGCTAATACAGCATTTTTACCTTTCTGGAAACTATCTATGAAAGGCAAGAACCATTGCTGGGCTCTCTGGGTCGAGGGGGGGGGG